TATCTATATAGATATCAGTACTAATATACTTTATATACTTTTTAGTTAAGACAGATTTTGTTGCTATGCAAAGATACATCGTTAGCACAAAATCACAATAAACCAAAAAGAAATCAGTAGGAAAGTGATGAAATCAAAGATAATTCCACACTACCAGCTGGGGCTTCCAGTTGGTGTGTTTCATACAACTACGATCTTGCTACTTCTCTTGGTCCTCCCGGTTTAAGTTCTCCTAGTGCTGGTGGCTCTGATATATATTTTGGGTCTGATGCTGGTAGCTCTGATACATATTTTGAGTCTGGTGCTACTGCCCCTGATATATATTCTGAGTCTGGTACTACTCTCTCCAAAACATATTCTGGGTCTGATGCTCCCAATGCATATTCTGGATCTGGTGCTGCTTCCCCTGATGCATATTCTGGGTCTGTTGCTATTGCCTCTGATATATATTCTGGGTCTGATGTTGTTGCCCCGATACTAATACTACCTATGATACTAACTACTTTGCTGCTACTAATACTAACTGCTTTGCTGCCCTCGATACTAACCGCTCTGCTATTCCTGATACTAACCGCTCTGCTGCTCCTGCAAAAAATCAAACTGAAGCCCCAAAAATAATTATTCTGCTGCCTCCGAAACAATTCGTGATAGAAGTTCCCCAAGCATCTATCCTACTAACATATCTGATACAATTTTTAATATTTATAATGCAAATTATTTAAGATTTTTACTAAAATTTTTGTACTGTTTTATTCATAATCTTTGAAGAGGCTACTAACATCAATACTAATAATGATGCTATTATAACAACGAACAAAAATAAAGGCAAAACCATTAATAATTATGAATCAGATAATGCATTTATTAATTTTATATAACTTGCTGTATTTTTAATATGTATTCAATTAATTTGTTATATGTTAATAATTATTTTATAATTTAGAAGATCGTAATATTCTGAAACCATGTTACAGCAGAGGTGGTTCTAGTCAAAAAGTATCTAGAAGTTTTAGGCATAGTACTAGAAAATAATTTTTTTTAATATATTTAATTTTTATTATGTATTTAGTTAGTAATTATATATATATAATATTTGTAAAAAAATAAATATATTAAATAATAAAAAATTAATATATCACTTTTTAATTATATATCAGGAATAAATAAAAATAAAATATCTATGTAATATTACAATCATTACTATTTATTTTAATTATACCAGTATTCATCTTTAATATCATCTAGTAAAAATCAGATTTACAAAAGAGTAGATATCGAGATATTAAAGGAATCCCTTTAGTTTACTCTATTTGTCTTTATATGTACTGTTTTTCACCTTTTATTTTGATATAACCTGTAGCAAAACAGATAAATATCAGGATATTAAGAGAAACCCTTTAGTTAACCGATATTTGTCTTTGCATGTACTATTATTTACCTTTTATGTTACTATAGTCACTAATATTGGTAGCAAAATAGATACATAATTTTTATATAAAAATCAATATCAGGATAATAAAAGATACCCATTATTTAACTAATATTCATTTTTCATACTTCTGATATTTATCTTTCATACTGCTATAAATCTGCCAAACACATGTAGCAACTAGGTATATAATTATCAAATAAAAGATCAATATCAGGATATTAATAGATACCCTTTATTTATCTAATATTTATCTTTTATTTTGTTCTAGTATTCATCCTTTATATTACCATAGATCTGCCAAATAACTGTAACAAACCAGGTTAAGTGAAGATACATAAAAGATAGATATTAGAAGATAAGTAGGTACCCTTTATTTAGCTGATAGTTATTTTGAATTTACTGATATTTATCTTTTATATTTCCAATATATGCAGCAAAGCAGATATATAATTATCAAATAAAAGATCGATATCGGAATATTAATAGATACTCTTTACTTATTTAATATTTATCTTTTATATTGTACTGGTATTCATCCTTTATATTACTATAGATTCGCCAAATAACCGCAGCAAACCAGATTAAGAGTGGATACATAAAAGGTAGATATCGGGATGATAAAGGGATCCTGTTATGTATTCTTTATGTATTTATTAAACCTGTGTCCAATACTGATAATACCAAATCCTAATATATTATTTACAGTTACAACAGATATGTCAGATATAGCGATTAGAGCTGTATTGGTACAAAATCTAGAAAAGGATAAACAACCGGTGGTATTTAAGTCACAAAAATTAATTACAGCCGAATTAAACTATCCTATTCATGAAAAAGAATTGTTAGCTATTATACATGCTTTTAAAATATAGCGTGTATACTTAGAGGGCTGACATTTTGAAGTTGTAACTGATCATGCATCACTAGAGTATTTGCAAACCCAAATGAAATTATTGAGAAGACAAGCAAGGTGGCTAGAGACCTTACAAATCTATAACTTTATAGTCAAGTATCACCTGGGCAAGACAAACACAGTAGCAGATGCTCTTTCAAGAAAACCTGAAGCAAATATAATTAGTATGATTAATATGAATGCAGAAATTATTGAAGGAATTAAAAATGAATATACAAAAGATACATATCTTAAAAAGGTTTTAACGGTACTTGACAATCCTATGGGTAACGAAGCAAAATAGTTAGAAAAGCAACTAAACCATTATAAACTACAGAATAGATTATTATTTATAGTAGAAGGTCCAGAAGTTCAATGATTGTGTATTGTAAAAAAATCGAAATTTCAAACGTTATTGCTCAAAGAGCACCATGATAAGAGTGAACATTTTGGGTTTGAGAAAACCTATAAATATATCAAATGAAATTACTATTGAAAAGGAATGAGCAAGAACATAAGAAAATATATATATACATGTGATAGCTGCCAAAGAAATAAGAGTTCCAATCAAGCACTAGCAGGGTTATTGCAATCTCTTGATACACCAGACCAAGCTTAGAAAATGATTTTGATAGATTTTATAACTTACTTTCCACATACTAAGAGCAGAAATAATTCAATCTTAGTTGTAGTAGATAAGTTAAGTAAAATAGTAAGATTGTTACCAACCTGAACAACTGTGATAGCAGTAGAAGTAGCCCAATTAATTTTTCAGAAAATATTCAAACACCATAGCTTACCAAAAAATATTGTTTCAGATTGTGACCCCAAATTTACAGGCATATTTTGGAAAGAACTCTTTAAATTAATAGGAACAGAATTAAAAATGTTAACGTCAAATCATTCCCAGACAGACGGACAAACTAAGCAAACTAATCGCACACTAGAAGAAGTATTACGTGCTTATATTAATTATAAACAAGATAACTGGGAACAAATTTTGACAATGGCAGAATTTGCATATAATAATACCTACCAAGCATCGATGGGATTTACTCCATTTCAATTAGATCATGGACGGCATCTATCTACTCCTAATAGTATATTGGTTAGAAACCTTACATATACAAATGTAAAGGCTGTTAATGAGTTGTATCAGTATTGGGCTACAATGATAAGTATAGCTAAAGACATATTAATAGAGGCACAAGAAAAACAAAAGATATATATAGATAAAAAAAAAAAATGATTTTGTGAGCTAAAAAAGGGAGAGAAGGTATTAGTAAATACAGCAAATTTAACAACACCAGAGAATTTAAAAAGAAAATCAAAAAAATTCATACCGAAGTATATGGGTCCATTTGAAGTCACAGAAGTAATTTCCTCTACCACTTACAAGTTACAACTACCTAGTATCTTACATATACATCCAGTATTCTATATCTCTTGCTTGAAACCTTATTACCACGATGAATTCGAAAAAAGAGAAGTACTACCACCACCACCATTGTTAATAGATCCGAACTTGGGCATGAAATATGAAGTCAAAGTCATTTTGGACAAGAGAAGCTACCACCGTCAAACACAATATCTAGTAAAGTGGAAGAGTTATCCTTTGCATGATGCCACATGGGAACCTCTTAAAAATCTTGAGAATTGCAAGCAGTTAGTTGAAGACTTTGAAGGAAAATCAGAGTCTTCTTTGAGTAGAGGAAAGTGTAGAGAAATAGATTATCTCAAATGTAATTCGTGCAATGATTGTGATTCGTATAACAAGCATGATTTGTGCAATGATCATGATGATCATAATGATGTGATTTGTGCAATGATCATGATGATCGTAATGATCGTGATGAATGTAAACTGTAACTTAACTATTGTATAAGTATGAGGTAATTATGTAGTAATAGCGGGATCAAGCATAATCACAGATAAATAATGCACATTAGAAATATAGTTATAAAAAGTTAGTAAAAGCGATATATAAATATAAAATAAAATAAGTAATAAAGAGATATATTTACCTTTGCAATAACAATTTTGATGTCGTATTACAAATCTCATATAATATATAATAAACTATATATCTTAAATATAGATATAAGCGAATAAAGTAGAATCTATTTATTAGTTTAAAAAAATAAACGTATAAGTTTTTATTGTATCTTTAAACAATATAAAAGCTAGTATCAAATAATTTTATCATATTTCAGTAAAGTTTAGGTCTAATCTGGTTTATTGTTATGAAGTTATTACATTCAAGCTTTCTTCTCAGACCAGTTAGTTATATTTTTAAATTAATAAAACTTTAATACCCTATATTTATTATACATTATAATTTTTTGACTTAAAAAATTATTGCAAAACATATCTAGATAAGGTGAATCTAACAAAATATAAAATACTTAAAGTATCATTTGTGGAAATTTTATACTAATATTCAATTTGATTAGCTAATTATTAAATATATAGAATAATCGAAAAAGAAATCTAGAATAATCTGATTGATGATTATTATGAAATAAGGTGTAATTGTCAATTAATAAATATAATAAATTCCTGATAAGCTAGTCATAGCAAAAAAATTTTACTATTATATAATTGATGATCATTTTTGACCTATTACACATGATATAATAACTTGCAAATCAAACTTTTTATTATTGTTATCATTATACTTTTGATAATTTTTATTTACACACTTTATTAAAATATTTTTTTTATTTTATAGCTTTATTAAAATAATTTTTTTTTATCTTATACCTTTATTAAAATATTTTTTTATCTTATACAAAAAAAAAAGCAAAATTTAAAATATCTGAAAGGCATGAAAAAGCAAATATGCAAAACTTAAAATAAAATTTGGGCTAAAACTAATAAAAACTAGAGTTAAAAAAAGTAAAAAATCAGAGCAAAACATATTATGAACTTTTGCACTAAGTGACGTGAGAATAACAAATGAAATATTTAATAAAAAAAGTTTTTTTAGTCTTTGTATAGGATAAATAAGTAATAAATACTATAAAAGAAAGTACTATCACTAGTTGTTGAAGTATTCAAATATTTTCAGATATTGAATGATCAGTTTGTCATTAAGAATGATCAGTTGTAGAATAAATAAGGGTGAATGAATTCAAACAATTTTTAAGATAAATAGTCTTTTTAACTTACTTTTGTCTAATAATTAAACATATAGATATTGCAATATTCTATATACTTAATTATAGATTTAAAGTATGTTAAAAAGCTATTTTTGCAAAAACTTATTTTGTAATAACAATTATAATTAGCTAATTTTGGGGTCAAACCAGATCGGCTAATATGAAGAAAATTTGATTAAAAAAAGAAAAAATCAGAAAAAAAGATTAATCTAAATAAAAAAAAAGATAAAAAACAGTGAATATTTTATTTTATTGTAGCCAAAAGGCCAATTTTTGGTTTTTTTAAGATTTTCATATTTATTGCTATTTTTTGCATTAAGAGCTTCACTATATATGATAATTTTATTAACAAGAGGCTGCCTAAGAGTCTTATATGCATCATAAAGTTTGTCATTTTTAATATTATCTTTAATAATCTTTACTAACATATTGAATATTTTAGAATTCAAAATTAGTTCTTCTTTTCTATTTTCAATAATTTCATAGTAGTCAAGAATAGGAACACTTGCAATAAGACTACTTGATGACTTCAATATAGATATAGTTTCTATGACTTTATTTTTCAGATCATTATCTCAAGGATTATTTGCATTAAATCTTAGAATATAATTTATTTTATTAAAATAAATAAATAAACAATTATGATAATATATTGTAGTAAAAAATAAAGAAAAAAAATTTTTATTTTTTGCACAATATTCTTTCACTAAATATTTGTATATTATATAGAAACTATATAAAAATACAGTATATAAACAAATTTAGATATTTATATTAGTATGATAATAGTTAATAGATGATTCACCAGTTATCTGAAGAGCTATGTGATATAGGTTACACAAGATTTATATATAAATTATATATAAAATCTTCAAATAGTAAATATAGAGATTTTTTAAAGAAATGTAAAGAAAACTTTTTTCTTACTAAGTAAATTACTCTTGGCTTCTAACAAAAGTTGTAGAGCTCACCAAGACGCATCTAATGGTGGTGAGAATGCTAAAATCGGCTTGGTAGTTCTTGAAAAATCTTTAAAAAATGTTTGCCAACATAAAATTTCTTTAAAAAAAATTGATTTTTTTTAAAGAAATTTTATATGTCAGTGAAACGTTTTTTAAAGATTTCTCAAGAACTACTAGGCTGATTTTAGCATTATTACCACCATTAGATGCGTCTTGGTGAGCTCTACAACTTTTGTTAGAAGCCCAAGAGTGATTTACTTAGTAAGAAAAAAATTTTTAGAAGAATTCTCTTCGCATTTAGCTTAATAGTAAAATTTACTTATAAAAATTGTAGATCCTCTTCAGATGATAGATGAATTGTCTATTAATCATATTTATTTTTTTCATTACTATAGACTTCCAATTATGTTTAAATATTTCTCACTATGATAGAAATTTATAATTATAATTAAATCTTCTTCAGTTATTTTCTATATTCAGAACTAAATCTTTTGTAATAATTTGTGTTAGACAGTCTAGCTATAGCTAATTTAAGTTATACTTGTAATTATATTTGAGAACACACCAATGCGACTCAGTGATTATAGTGGTTCTGGCAATAGGTATTGCTTTGGGATAAGCTGCTTATGCAAATAGATTCTAATTCCTATATTATACCAATTTGTTTACAAGTATTCTCATAAGTTAACAAGATTTTTTGATAACAAAATTGGTAAATTTCTAAAACATTTTGGTATTTAATTTTCTTCAATATGAAAAAAGTGTTTTTACTTGTTAAGATAAGTAGATATAATAAAATATATTTTTTAATAATTTGTAACAATTCTTTTATTAATTTTTTAGAACATATTTTACTTTGTGGTTCAGTTAAAAACCAAGTTAGATCAATAAATTCGAACTCAAGATTTGCTTTATATGCTTTTTATGCTGAATATTTATTTTTTTAAGCTTTTTTTTTTTATTAGCTTACAATCAATTGCATGTTCTATATACCAAAGACAAAGCTAAATTATTGTTTGAGGCCAAGTCTCTTGAAAAGCGATTATCTCTCTAGCATCTTTATTCAGAAATACAAATATCAAAAAACATTTTCATTTTGCAAGTCTATGAAAAATTCTTTTAGCATATCAACTTTCATATGCACAGCATTTCTGGAATCTAATAATCACTCTACTGGTACCATATACATATCTACATATAAATATACAAGGGGAACTCTATACTTACTATAATTAACATTTACCACAAAGAGCTCAAACTGTTTTTTGTTTATTTTAAAGATCAAATCAATAATAATTTCACTGATATAATCTTTTAGATTATAAAGAAATAAAATAGTAAATCTGAGTGAATATACAAAATTATTCTCTTAGTATTGAATAATTTTATATTCCTTATTTACTAACTCTTTCTGTTCTAAAAAATTTATAGATAATTTTACTTGGTTAGATATATCGATTATATATAGCTTTCTTAAAAATTTATGCAGTCAGTAATATATTTGCTAATAAATATATAGAATTAGATTAGTTAACTTTCTATTACAAAGCTGTTTGTAAAATTTAATTTTTCATATACTTAAATTAATATGCTGTTGAATCTACTTTATGGCATCTGCAGGTAATTTTATATCTCTATAGATAAAATATTGGTGAGCTATTAGATGCTATATGGATATTGTAGCTTTTTTTCACACATATCTATTCTAATTGTAATGCTACTATCATATTGAAAGCATGTTATAGCAGGTTATGTTTTGCTTATTCATTTTTTTGATCTTGTTATTATCTTTATGCTGATGATTAATTCTTTGAGTACAACCTAGATGAGCTGTTGCACATTCTGTATATTGGCTATTTTTTCTACTCATATACAAATTTTTAAGCTTCCAATAGTATCTCGATCCTTCTTGAAGAGAAAAAACTAAAGCTTTTACAATATTACAAATTTTTTAGATTTATTTTGATCTAACTCCAGTGATAATATTTCACTATGATCTAATTTTAATAGTAATACTTCTTTATGTTTAAATTCTGATAACAATATTTCTTTATAATCTAATTCTGGTAATAGTAATTTTTTAAAATCTAATTCTGATGACAATATTTCTTTACTAAATAATTTATTTTCAATTTTTATTATTATAGAAAATTCAACCTTGCTATCATACTCTTTTTCATGTCTAAAATTAATATTTATAAATTTTTTAAGATTATAAATTTTGTAAAAAAGCTCATTATTGATGCTTTTCTGATTATCTATATTTGTATCCTTATTATCTAAAGGCTCATCTTGTAATTCAATTTGGAACTTTTTATTTAATCTATTTTGTTTTTGCCATTTAGAATATTTGTTACATATAGATGATTCTAATATTTTATTTCTATTTTGTTTTATAAAATTAGTAATCTGTTTAATCTTTCTATAGCCAAAACAAGACTTTTTTTGTAAATTAGTAAGGAAGATATTTTAATATCTTTAAGTAAATTTGTTTAAAGAATAATTATATATAAGTTTTGAATAGCTTTTTTTTAATAATAGTTTTTTTAATTGAAAATTATTTTGTATTACCAGTAGTTTTCATCATTATATATTGTTTTAGAGTTAGAGTGTAATTTTATAACCAAAATGAGTCAGCTTAAATGGTCTAAATTTTAGGTTATACAAGGTTTTCAGAGGTTTTGAACATTTTTACTTAATATACCTGACCCTATTTCTTAGTCCTATTTTTAAGATATTGCAAACTGGTAATAATTACCAGT